AGAATAGAATAGAATAGAATAGAATAGAATAGAATAGAATAGAATAGGAATAGGAATAGGAATAGGAATAGAAATAGAATAGAAAAAAGAATATAATATAATAGAAAATAGTATAGAATAGAGAATAGAATAGAATAGAATAGAATAGAATAGAATAGAATAGAATAGAATAGAATAGAATAGAATTGTGCATGGAATATAAGCTTGAATATAAATATAAATGGAATATAAACCCTGAATATAAGCTTCCTTTCTGATATAATTGCTATTGCTTTAACTTCAAATATACAGAAGCCAGCATCTGCAATTTCTTTTTTTTTTAAATGTAAATGCTAAGGAAGTTTTTCATATGATTTTCTGGAGGTTTCTTGACTCATTTTCAGCCATCACAGTTTTATCTCGTGATCAGTATATTTTACTTTAATCCAAAATCATGGGTTGTTACAAATGTGTCTCCTTTTTTAATTGAACGCATGTCACGAAACATTGCAAGCATGCCTTTGTTTCTTTTGATTTGGGCTCCAGAACTCCAATTTATATGTATGTATGTATGTATGTATGTATGTATGTATGTATGTATGTATGTATGTATGTATGTATTAATATATATGTGTGTGTGTGTGAAATCAAACTGTCCACTTAGGTAGCAACACTGATTGACAATCAATTCCACATGCTCTTGTGCAAATGGAATAGACAACAGGTGGAAAGCATAGGCAGTTAGCAAGAGATCCCCAATAAAGAAGTGGTTCTGCAGGTGGTGACCACAGACCACTTCTCAGTTCCTATGCTTTCTGGCTGATGGTTTGGTCACTTTTGAATGCTGGCGGTGCTTTCACTCTAGTGATAGCATGAGACAGAGTCTACAACCCACACAAGTGGCTCAGGTAGTGCAGCTCATCCAGGCTGGCACATCAATGCGAGCTGTGGCAAGAAGGTTTGCTGTGTCTGTCAGCGTAGTGTCCAGAGCATGGAGGCACCACCAGGAGACAGGCCAGTACATCAGGAGACGTGGAGGAGGCTGTAGGAGGGCAACAACCCAGCATCAGGATGGCTTGTCTTTGGGGTTTCTTAGGATGTTGGCTATTTTTTGGTCAGTGCCGAAGGCTGTCCTGATATTGTGTTTGTGGAGAATTTTGCTGATTTTGTCTGTGGTGCCTTTGATATAGGGGAGGAGTGCGATACCGTTGTCTTGTTCTGTGTCTTGGTTTTTTGGGGGTATCTCTTTTCAGATTAGATTGGTGATAGTGTTTCTTTGGAATTAATACATTAGTGAGGGTGTGTAGTTCTGTTCTCAGGTAGTCTTTGTCAGCTAGGCGTTTGGTTCTGGAGATGAGGGTCTTGGCTACGGAGTTGATCTGTGCAAGGTGGTGATGGGATTGTGCATTTAGATAGCGGTTGGTGTGTGTGTTTTTTCTAGTAGATGGTATGTCCTAGGGAGCCATTGGGTTTTTTGTAAATTAGGACGTCCAGGAAGGGAAGTTGGTTGTTGGTTTCTGTTTCCATGGTTAATTGTATTTTGGGGTATAGGTTGTTAAGATGTGGGAGGAAGTTGTCCAGTTTTTCTTTCCCATGTGGCCAAATTACCAAAGTGTCATCTACATATCTGAGCCAGAGTTTGGGTTTGTGTTCGGATTTGTCTAGAGCGTTGGTTTCAAAGTGTTCCATGTATAGGTTAGCGATGATGGGTGAGAGGGGTGATCCCATGGGTGCTCCTTCTATCTGTTTGTATCTTTGTCCATTGTGGATGAAGTATGTGTTGGTTAGGCAGTGGTTGGTCAGATCTAGGATGTGTTTGGGGGGGTTGTATTTGTTTTGGATGGCTGTCAAGGCTTCTTTGATGGGTACTTGGGTGAAGAGGGATATGACATCGAAGCTCACGAGTAGGTCGCTGGGTTGTAGGTTTTGTTTCTTTATTGTTTCTATGAAGTGGAAGGAGTTTTGTACGTGTGAGGTGATGGATTATGTGTAGGGCTGGAGTTGTTTGGCGAGAAATTTGGCAAGATTCTGTAGGGGTGAGCCTATGGAGCTCAAGATACTCTTAATCTTACACGGGAAAAGACACCTAGACCTACATATATATATATAATATATTCTTAAGTTTTCGTGAGTACTTACATGTATGGTATTCAGCTTTGTTCGGGTATTTTCCCACGTCATTATAGTTGTGCTTTTAAAGTTGTAGCAACGTTTCAGCAGAATCTCATCTGCCATCATCAGGCTTCTGTATTGTGTTCGTCTGTGAGTCAGACTTTTACAGTTGTTTCAGTTTTAAATTTGGAGCTAGCCTACTGCTGTGCCAGAATGGTTTTTTCTTCATCCTGATTGGTTGGGAGTCTTGGTCTGTGTTTATTGGTCTTGGAGTTTGCTGTGTTCTACTTGATTGGTGTTTCTAATATCTTCTGTCTGTTTTGTGGCTTTTTTGTGTCTAGATTGGCTGGCAACATTGTGTTCCTGTATTGGAGGCTTTTAGTGCAGCTTGGCTCCGAGTAAATGGACAGCTATCATTTGTTAGGAAGCTAGGTTTTATCTGGGTGCCTGGTTGGGGTGTGTTTGAGCTGGAGGTATCAGGGGGGATCCGTTTGTGCCCAGGTGTTTGCCTGGCTAGTGGTGTGGAGATTTTGTTTGTTTGTGAGTGCAGGCTTCCAAATAATTGACAGTCTGGTGGAATCATCTCTTCTATTCATGCTTTATTCATGCTGTAAAAGTCTGACTCACAGACGAACACAATACAGAAGCCTGATGATGGCAGATGAGATTCTGCCGAAACGTTGCTACAACTTTAAAAGCACAACTACAATGACGTGGCAAAATACCCGAACAGAGCTGAATACCATACACACACACACACACACACACACACACACACACACACACACACACA